CCTACTTGCACTCTGTCTCTCTCTGTCTCTCAAAAATAAATAAATGGTAAAAATTTAAAAAAGGAGATACACATAAAGTGTGAAGGGGCCAAAGGGCCATCACGACCACAAGACAGAATGAGCCTCCTGAGAACAAATGGGGCAAAAATGGTAACATCAGCTGAATCAGAAGGAAGGGCGTTCAGGTGTTCTTTGTACCAGTATTGCCACTTTCCTGAAAGTTGGAAATTATCTTAAAGTACAAAACTAAAAAAAAAAAAAAAAAAGGCCCAGGTCAGAGTTTGTACTCCAGGGCTCACCCATATATTGCTTGATCACACACACAGGCTTTTAAAAAATGGGAATTTCTTGCCAACAGTTGAACACTGGGAGATTGTACACGAAAGCTGGATTTCTGGTTCCCCTTGTACAGAGGACGCTGCAGCCACACTGGGGCCAGGGTGCTTCTGCAGGCAGCAGCCAGAAGTAGTCATGCTCTTGGTGTGGCACCCACGCTCTCCCTGCCCGACCCCATGGAGGTGGGAGCTTGCGACCCGTAAGCATTCTACCGTGCCTGGCCCAAAAACACCTCAGTCACGGGCCTGTGTCTACCTGTCCATCTTGGGAGACGAGCTCCAGGCTGTTATTGGATTTTCTTTGTGCCTGAGCACTGGGGACATCTGAGTCTTTCTGAAGGCAGGTCTGTCCCCATTTGTCAGATGGAGAGGCTGAGGACCTGCGGGGCAGAGGTCATAGGTGGAGCTGACAGAGGTCTGGGACCTGGGTGTTCTGCCTCCAAACGTTGTCCTTGCTCCCCACCACACAGCACCTCACGCCTGTACCATTTGCAAAGGATAGTCCCGTCCGTCCATGCGTGTGGTCCCCACAACAGCCCTGTGGGGTAGGCAGGGGGCGGGGGGGAGGGGAAGGGCCTTTGACCAACTCCCCCACTGCACACAGCGGGTCTCCCAGCATTGGGGCACAGGGAGGTGGACAGACCTGTCCAGGGTCACAGGCTGGGCACAGCTGGGCCAAGTGACCCAGCAGCAGAGAGTTCCTTGCCTTCCTCTAGGTTGAACCACTGTGCCAGATGCCATGAGGGGGGTTTCTGAGCTACCATGAGGACCCTGCAGGTGCCCCCAGCCAGGTCCCTGTCTTCCCCAGGGGTCATTCAACTGGAAGGCCCAACAAGGCCTCCCGGCACAGGGAAGGTGTCCAAGGTGTCTGTCCATGCACAAAAACGAGCATCCAAATGGCAGTTCTCCAGAGTTCAGAACAATTGAGGAAAATCCCCTGGAGGAGGCAGGCTCATGCAGGCTGAAGGTGGGGAGGAGCTGGATGGGGCAGATCTCAGAGAGGAGGAAGGGGGAGATAGTCAAGATGAAAGAAGACTCGTGAGCTGGGGTCAACCCATTTTATAAGCAAGGAAATGGAGGTTCCAAAAGGGTAAGAAGCTTGTCCAGGGGCTCCTAGCAAATGAGAGCAGTGGGGATTTGAACCCAGACGTGTTTCACTCCCAAGCCCAGGCTCCATCTGAGGAATAGGGAAGGGAACCAACCCGTTGTGGGCATCCCTCAGCTAGCACTGGGCTAGGCAGGGGCTTCGCCTACATCACACACCAGAACATCCCTATTGTCTTCATGGATCAAGAGAAGTGGAGCGACATGGCCCAAGGCCACACAGTGAGTTCATTCCAAAGCCCAGATCTGGCTCAGTCCAGCCCCACCCAGCTTTTTCTACAAGAGCCCCAGCCTCTTTCCTCTCTCTGGCAGACAGTGCTTGAGCCCCCACGCCATGTGGACCCACGGATGGGCGGGGCATGACCTACTGGTAGCCTCACACTCAGGGCTTCTGGCTGCTGGACCTGCCTGGGAGAGAGGATCCACGAAGAAGGGCATCCCAATGGTGATGGTGTGTGTTTATCTGCATATGGCCAAGGATGGAAGGGGCCCATAAGAGTGACATCATTAGATCTCTTTGGGAGGCAGAACTGGAAGAATTTTACTCTTTACCTTATCTGAGATGGTTTGAACGGTGAGAGACTCGGTCAACATGACGGGGCTGTGCTCGAAAGGGCCAAGCACAGCGTGGGTGTCATGGGCTGAAATGTGTGTGAGTGCCATGCTGTATGGGGGTGACTGCCCACGGGCAGTGGTGGGCAGAGAAGGCTTCTTGGAGGGGGTGGAGCCTGAGCAGATGAACAGGAGTTAAATGTGTAACAAGGAAGGGAGAGGGCCATCTAAGAGTGGGGAGCAACTTCAGCAGGGGCAGGGCAGAGGGAAAAAAGCAAGGTGCACCTGTAGCAGAGGTACAAGGTGAGGATGGGTGTGATGAATCTGTGACTCTCAGGCCTGGGAGGGCATTGAATGCAGTGCCCATTCGGTGCTTGGGTCCACTCCACAACACCCCCAACACCCCACAGCCTGTCCAGGCCTGCTTACACACAAACCGTGACCAGGAACTCACCAGCTGCCAGGCAGCCTCTTTTGTCCTAGAATGGTTTTGTTACAGAATTTCTCTTTCTGTAGACTGCTTTCTGTAGGGCTGCCTATACCCTCTTCTCACCCCCCCCATTCCCCGTGAGCCTGTGTGAATCATTTGGCCGTCCCAGCCCCATGCAGATACATTTCAGAATGTCAGCACTACAGTTCACAGTCAAGCTCACCCTGCGCTCTGGCATTTTTGGTGGGTCCTGACTCTTGCTTTCTTTTTGCCATCCCCCTGCACTCATGCATGGTCTCTGCAAAGTTGACAGGCATACTTTCCATGCTGAAACAGGATAGAGCTCCAGAGAAGCCCAGAAACCTCCCACTGGATTACCAGCAACCCACCAATCAGCACAAACCCACCCAAATCTCCTGGCCCCTAGCACATCCTGCTGTATCTTGCCCACAGGGGTATCCCAAGACACCTTGGCTGCTGTCTCGTGACATCTGGAGGCCCAGGGCCTACACTATTTACCTGGGCTTCCAGTTAGATGTATAGGTAAAGGCCCAAACAGTTGGTTCGACTTGCGCTGGCTAGCTGACTTCCCACCCCATCTCTGCCCTGTCTGTGTCTTTTCCAGAGTCTCCCTGCACCTGTGCCCATCTCCTTGGCTGGTCTGTGATGCACCAGAGTCAGTGATTCTGAACATTTTATCTCCTTAGCCTCCTGTGATGTAACTACCCCTCCTCTCCCTTCTCCAAACTGTCTGGAACCTTCATCACCCATCCATTCAGGCCCAGTGCCTCCACTTGACTTCTGCTGATCCAGATGACCCACCAGGCCACTTCTCCCAAGGATGATTGCCTCTCTGTCAACCACTTTATTCTCAGAGGTCAGAACCAGAGCCTCAGTGACATGAACCCTGATGTGGTCCTAAGTTCCAAGAAGGCGTTCAAGGCTTTATATGATCTCCTAGTCCCCAGAGCCTTTGCACTTCCTGTCCCTCTCCCTGGAGTGTTATTTCTTCTCATTGTGCTGGTTTCAGCTCACAAGAAACCTCCTCAGACAGGCCTTCCCTGACCAAAAAGACTCCTGTCCCCTTTCTCAGAGCCTCTATCTCATTACAGTGGTATAATGTCATCTGAATATTTGAAATTATCTTACATATTTACTTGCTTGTTCCTTTATTGTCTGTTTCCTTTTACTAGATTTTAAGCTCCAGGAAGGTAGGGACCTTACTTGTCCCACCAACCACTGGCAAACTGGAGCTACTTAACAAATGTTGGTTACGTATGTTCTGGATAAATAAATGCCCCAGCTCCGATTCTCACTCCTTTCTCCCAACCTACCCTGCAGACCTGCTGATTGTCCTCTGTGTATTGCTAGGACACCCCATATTCCTTCAGACTTCTGTGTCTCTGCACACATTTGCCTCTGCTCTGAGGCCCTTCCTCTATAATTCTGCTTGGCGAGCTCCTACTCACCCTTTAAAACCCAGCTCAATTTCAATTTAAGTGGTTCTGTCCCTTTTCTGGCTTTCTCGCGTCTTCTCACTCCTCTACTGTGGAATGAGCTGTTTGCAGTCTACAGGCTGGAGGCCCTCATGGTTAGGAGGAGGCTCAGAATCATTGTGGGGGCCTGGCCCAGGGCAGCTTCTCAGAGGATGTTTCCCGAGCCGCGCTGAGCAATGAGACCCTTTGTGTGTCCCCTCGAAGGAACTGTCTCATCCAGCAGGTGCCTCACCTCTGCAAGGTCTCTCTACCTCCTCTCTTGCCCCCTGCAGCAGCCAGAATGAGATTTTACAAATGCAATGTGACTAGTTCACTGCTTAAAACTATTCCAGATGACCCTCGTCACACTTAGACATTTCAAAACTAACTCTTCAAGAGCTGGCATCGAGGCCCTCCACCCCGTCCATTTTACTCAATTTCCTCCTGCGTCGGGACCTTTGCACTTGTTGTTCCCTCGTGTACGTTCCCCACAAATAGTCACTAGGCCGGCTCTCTCTCATCGTTCACACCTCACCTCAAACATGGCCCCCCCGCCCCCCGCAGCCACCTGCCTTCCATCGCTCTGCTTTATTTTCATCATAGACCCACCACCTTCTGGAGTTTTCACAATGTCTGGGGCTTCTCACTGCACCACAAGCTTCTCAGGGCAGGGGCCTTGTCAGCCTCATTCATTGCTGTATCCCCAGTACCCAGCCCAGTGCCTGGCACATGGTAGGTATTGAACATAACTGTCACCCGATCAATCCTTCCCTATCCCTGATAAGAACAGCCTCTGGTGTTTGACTTTTCAGAAGACTAAGTCACTAGAAAGTAAGTTCTATGAAGGCAGGGATTCTCTGTAGATTTTCTTTACTGCACTATCCCCAGGGCCTGGAGCAGTGCTAAGTGCACAGTAGGCTCAAAGTACGGTTGTTGGGGGGAAAGGGAGGGAGTTGTCATTTGGGGCTGAGCTGGCTGGAGATCTGAAGCCAAGGAACAAAGTCTTTGAGAACTTCCAGCCTCATGAAGGGGACACAGGTGCCCCCCACAGCATAGAGGCAGGAACTGGCAATGGGAGTGACCCACCGTTGGGCCACATCTCACCTGACAGCAGCATGGGGTCCTTGTCCACGGACTTGCGCACCTGGTCAGACTCTCCTGTCAGGGAGCTTTCGTCGATTTTGAGGTCATTGCCCTGGATGAAGAGGCCGTCAGCAGGGAGGAGGTCACCTGGTGGTAGGAAGGGCAATCGAGTTAGCAGGGTCTCAGGTGGCTGGAGGGTCTGGGAACATTCCTTTGAAGGTGTGTTTGCAAGGTCAAGTTCACCATTGGGGACCAGCTGCCTAGAGCTCCCAGGGTGTTGGAACCAAGATGGCACTCATCACAGGCCAATAGGCAGCTGAAGACTGGAGCCAAGGTGAATGGCGCAAGGCCTGGAGGGCTGAGGCTGGGCCCAAGAACAATCCTAGCTCAAGTGGGCTTGTACTTCTGTTTATAAAGTGCTTCTCTTGGCCTGGTGTGGATTTGGGGCCCAGTTTTCTCAATGATTCATTCTCTGGTCTCAACTACAGGTTGGAAAATTCTTCTAGGAGGGACTAGTCTGTCTTGGCTAGGCTGAGGAGACCGTATGACAGGCCACTTTATCAGAGGAAACCAAGCCCCCTAAGGTGGAGTGAAGAGGGAACTCCAATCTCTTCCCCATCGTCTGCCTCTACTTACCCAGGACATATCTCACCTATACCCCCTTTGGCACTAGCCAGCCTGCCCACTCTCTCCACGGTAGTATCACAGGCCCATCCACGTCCACTCCCTACAACACCCTCTCTAGCCCAACAACCATCCATCAACAGCTCAATTATAGATGGGAAAGGGATTTTGTCTCATAAACCCATTCTGAGTGTCAGTGGTCCTTGGAGCATTATGTTGAGAAGGCTTCTGTATCTAGGCTTTGAATTGTGATTGATTAGTAATGTCTGTTACAGGTGGAGGTTTTGAGAGTGGTAGCACATGTGCCATGTATCTGCCATTTCTGACTTTCAGGATTCCGGAATCCTACCTCCTCCAGGAAGTAGCCTTCTACCTCCCAAAGGATCTCAGAAGACATCCTGCCTTGCGATTAGCTTTCAGGAACCAACCCCCTTCCCTGGGCCAGCCTCTTTGGGTCTGCCTGTCCTGTCCCGCCTCTGCCCAGACTCTAGCTCTAGCACCTGGCTCTGTGGCTGGGACACTTACCATATTTGACCTGGGCGATGTCCCCAACCACAATCTCGGCCACAGGGATCTGGACTACCTGGCCAGCCCGAACCACGGTGAACTTCTGCTCCTGCTCAATGCGGCTCTGCAGGCCCCGGAACTGCTTCTCTTTGCTCCAGTCATTGAAGGCCGTGACCAGGACCACACAGATGACAGAGAGGAGGATGGCCGCCCCCTCGATCCAGCCTGCCTCCGCCTCCCCTTCATCCTCTGCCCCTCCCTGGGCCGTCGCACATCCTGCAGAGGGCAGAAGGAAGCAGGCAGGGTGGGGTCAGCCAGGCAGGAGGGGCCTCACGGGCCTGGATTTAAATCCCAGCTCCCCAAGTAAAAAACGTTGATAACTGGATGAACACGATCCAATTTATCCAACGTGTCTGGGTGGTGAGCCCTTCAGTTTTCTGTGTTGGTTCTAGGAGTGGGATCTTAGACAAACGACTCCATCTCTTTGAACCTCAGTTTTCAGATCTGTAAAAAGGGATGGATATTCTTTATCTGGGGGACCTATTGTGAGGGTTGAACTTCAGTGAGGTAAGGTCCATGGTGGCTCCAGCACAGACCCAGCACAGAGGACAGGCCTGATTCACGAAGAAAGAGAAAAAGTGAGGATGTAACAGGACGAACGTGGTCAGTATTGATCAGGGTCTGGAGGGCAGTTTGGCTGATGTGCTTTCTTTCCATTCTTCCAGCAACTGTGAGGCAGGCCTGCAGACAGCAGGCTGGGGGGCAGGAACCACGATGCTGGGCCTGACCTCCAACGAGCTGGTTCTAATTCTGCCACTGCCCCTGCGTGATCCTGGGTAACTCACTGTCCTCTCTGTGCTACAGTGTCCTTCTCTGCAAAACTGGAGTCACGGAGACCTCCTCCCAGGTTCCAGGAGAGGAAGGTGAAAGCCCCACCTAGAGCTTAGCACACAGCCCTTTTGCATCTCTGGTTGGACTTGATGCCACCCTTTAGGCTGTAGGCTGCTCATCTGTCCTACAGTGACCGTGCATCCCATACACTCTTGCACTGTTGAACATCCCAGTCTGGTTCCCCAAACTGTTTGAGGCCTGCCAGGACCACCATGTGAACAGAAGAAGAAAAAAGCAGGCTTATCTGATACAAAAGCCTCAGGCCCTGCCCAGGCAGTACTAGGTCCTAGGGTCTTTCCAAGCCCCTCCATGCACCCTGCCTCCTGTGTCCCCTAAAGGACCCAGAGAGGGAGAGTTACCTCCATTTACAGATGAGGAAACTAAGGCTCAGAGAGGTGAGGGAACAGCCAAGGTAGGTGTGACAGCCAGGACTAGCCCAGCCCCTTTTCTCCACCAGGAGGTGGTGAACAGCCCTTTTTATGGAAAGTGACCCGAGTAGCATCAGACTATCCATCCCCGGAAAACTCAGAGAGCTTTCCTTTTGTGGTGGCAGGGCAGGGTACTGGACCATTCACAAGTGACTTGTGACAAGCACTCACTTTAGTTCTCAAGCTGACCAAGAGAAGTGGTTCAGAGAGGGCTGGCAACTCACCTGGGGTCATACAGCAGATCTGGAGTTTGAATCCAGGCCTGGAATCTGGATCTGGTCTGCCTACTGTCCCTGAGCCCAGTGGCCTCCTCTGCCATGTGCTGGCTTCACGTTGCCAAAGACCCTTGGCTAACTGTCTGGAAGTCCACTTCAGCCCCAAGGAAGAGAGAACAGTTTTGAGAGATCCCAGCAGGAGCTTCTGGGAAGCCAGAGGGTCAGAAGCAACATGACCATAAGGCCAAGTGGTACCAGGGAATGTTTTCCAGCCCCTGGAGGGGTGGAGGTCCAGGCTAGCTGGTGGGCCTAAGCTTGGGACGGTAAAGAATCATGTGGCCCAGCAGTATGTATCACTCCTGGTGAAATTCCACAGCTTTCACCAAACAAGTCACACTCTGCAGACTAGTAAACAACCGCATCACTGCACAAGGTCCTCGATGTCACTCTTTTTTTCTTTTGAAATTTCAGACTTTTGCAATAATCTTAAACTGCTTAACTGGACCAGCCTTTAGTGCTGATGATAATCATAATCATGCTAATGTAACTGCCGTCGGGCCAGCCTTGAGCTTGAATCCCAGCTGTGATTCAGGCACTGCTGGGTGCCTATGACCGGGCTACTTAACCACTGTGCCTCAGTTTTCTCATTTGCAAAATGGGGGTGGTGACAGACACTCCCTCGAAAGTGGCTGAGAGGACAGAGGGAGAGCGTTTACGTAAAGCACTCACCCTCCTGAGCACATAGCCAACAAAGAGTGAAAGCTGCTGTTTTTTGTCATTCGGTGTGCAGAGTGCCTAAATGCATTCAAATTCACAGCCAGCCTTGGATGGAGCCTGGGGCCCCAAGCTATGGAGGCGTCCAGCTGGAGTTCAGCTGCGATGACCGGGGGAGGCAAACAAGGGCACCCCTCCACCATCATGAATGACACCAGAAGCCCCAAAGCCTGGGAAACACAGGTGAACCTTTCTAAACAGAAACCCAATCCATGGAAATGTGCTCTTTTGGGCTTCAGGGGAGTACTTGAGATACAGAGCCCCAGTTCTTTGCTTTATGGGACTTTTATTACTCTCTGCCTCTGCTACATGCTTTGTAAATGGGAAGACTATTCTTTCCCTGTTGTGTATTTCATCGGTGTTCCCCACCCCCCACCCCCCATTTACAGATGACAGCAGTCACTGCAGCATTTAGGACACTCAGAGATAGCCCAGGACCATGGAAAGCCTTTGGGGTCTGGAATTGTAAAGACTGACTTTGAATCCAGGCTCTGCTGTGTGACCTTGGGTAAGTGACTTGGTCTGTCTGAGTCTCAGTTTGCACAGCTGTAATGTGGGATGACTTTGTGACCCCAGGGCCTAGTAAGGGCCTGGCATCTGTTGGGTGCAAGATAAATGGTCTCCTTTGTATGAGCTACTCTCCCTGGACTGGCTTCTGGAAGCCAAGGGGGTGGTAACTGAGCAGGGTTCATACTCTGTTCCCTTGACTCCCAACCCGGCCTGTTGCCTTTGCTGGTTCTATACCAAGGAGCCCTTTGGGTCCTTGAGGGCACTCTGCTGGCCAAAGCCCATTTGATTTTCCTTCCTTCTGATAACTGTCTGATGGTCACTCTGTGCCTTGGGTGGGCCAGAGTGGGGCTGTGGATTGCTGGGTTAGGCCTTCAGCTACCAGGAGCTGCCGGACCCTGGGAACAACTCCTGCTGCCCCAGATGCAATCAGGGAAAAGAGATGGGGAAATGGAAAGAAGGGGGGCACTGGGCAGGCCCTGCTGAGGTCTCCTCTGGGGCCCCTTGGGCTGGGGCAGGAACAGGTTCTGAGCAGCCCGCAGCTGCTCTCCCTGGACCTGGGGCTTTGTAAGGTTCGGCTTTTGTCTGTGTGACCTCAGGGAACTTCCAGGCCTCTCTGGGCCTACTTTTCTTGTCCATCAGTAAAATGGGAAAGTGACTTTCTAGAAGGTTACCAGGGCCCGGCATCAAATATAGGCTCTCGAAACTAGAAGAGACACAAACGTTTTCTAAACACCTACTATGTGCCTGTCACTCTGCTGGCACTCTGACACTAGGGGAGCTGCCATGAACAGGGAGTTGGGAACACTGGTGTGCCAATCCCAGCTCTGTCATGAGCATGCTGTGTGACCTCCCCCAAGTATCTGGAGGACTCGGAGCCAAGGAAGCAAACAGGAAAGTGCGGTGGGTGCCGCAAGGCTCTACGGTTTGTAAACCCATCACTAGCATCATTCTGGACATGACTGATGAAGCTTGAGTCTGACTTGGCAGGGCGGTGGGCCTGGCAACATGGAAAGTCCAGAACTCAGAGCTCAGGCCAGAGCCTGGGCATTGGGGAGAACGTATAGCCACAAAGTGCAGGAACTTCACTCTCTGGTGCTGGGATATGTGCGGTGGCTGCCCTCATCCACCCAGGCCTGGCCTGAGCTAGTGTCTCAGCTAGAGGTAGGGAGGGGCAGTGGAAAGAACTAGAAGACTTGGATTGAAAGTCGAGCCTTACTGCCTAACAAGCTGTGTGACCTTGGGTAGGTTCTTCCCCTCTCTGGGCCTTGGTTTCCATGTCTCTAGAAGGGAAGAGATGGCAGCCCTCTGTTTGGAGGGCTGTGTGTGGGAAGGCTCCTCCTGGCACGCACTTGGAGCTAATCCGTTCTCTCACGGGAGCCCCCTCTACCATCTGCCCTCTGACTTCTCTATCTTGCACTAAACTGGGTCACAGGAAGCCATTTACCTGGGAGCATTGACTCAGTCCTGTCCCTTCCTGAGGAAATGCAGCTGAGTGATAGAGCGTGGGCTCGGAAGCCAGAACGTCTGGGTCTGAGTCATGCTTCTGCTGCTTCCTAGAGTGTGACCTAGCGAGTCATTTACTATCTCAGGGCCTCGGCTCCCGGATGATAACAGCACCTACCCACAGGGTTCTTGTGAAGATCAAATGAACTTCTACTGTAAATTCTCCCAATTAGTGCCGGCTACACAAATAGTTAGAAGAATGATCGTTATTATTATGGTTGTGTGTTGCACCTTTAGCTGAGTTCAAGGCTTATTCAAGTAGCCATGTGTAGCCTTCTACATTTTCTGTGAAACTCCTGCAAAGATTGTTGCCCAATATGCATCTCTTATAAGGCCCTATGTGAAAGTTCATCCCAGAATTCACTGTCAGGGGACACGCTACCAACCGAAGAAACTGTTTTCCTGCCTTGTTGATAGCCTGAGCTAAGAAAGTCATCCTAATTCCCTTTCTGCCTTGGCATCCAGGAAGCTTAAAGTCAAATTTAAATCTCAGTCATGGCAGGAAATATGGTTGGTTTATTTGCTTCCATTCCTTTCCTGTCTGTCTTTTCTGTTCAACTTCATCTTGTGAGATGTGCCCTTCTTGTGTCTTTAAACCCTTTCTGGGAAGAGTCACACCGGATAAAAAGCAACTTAGTAATATTATGCATAAAATTGAGGTAGTTGGCCTAAGAGACTCGGTCATTAGACTTGGGCAACTAATAGACTTGGGCAACTCTGGCTTTGGATGGCGTGAGGGGACAGATGTTCAAGGAATTTCAGAGACCACCTCCTCATCTGGGAAATGAGGCCCATAATGGTTATTTCTTATAAGCTATTCACTTTTTATTTCCTTGCTTGAAGCAATGAACATAGTAGGATTATCTGTTGATATAGCACATTCACTAGGAAAATGTCGAATCATAAATAATAACAAGTGTTTATAACATCTTACTAATGAAAAATCAGATTGTAAAAATCTAACAAAACGATATGTATTACGTGATCCCATAGTATGTGTCTGTCTATCTATCTATCTATCTATCTATCTATCTATCTATCTATCTATAACGTGACATAGGTTTGAAAGACTGTGTCATCATAAAGGAAAGAGTCATTGAGTTGATAAAGCACTAGCTGTTAGCAGGTGCTCTCTTTCTGGAATGAAAAGATGAGGGAAAGTTGAAGTTCTCCATTAGGAGTCCTAAGTTCTGACTTTGACAAGAGTAGGTCTGCTCCACAACCCTCCCTGGATGAGCGGGTGGTGCTTCCTCTGTCAACGGAGCAGTGTCCCCAGTCAGAACTCAGGGACAGATTTTGGGAGGCCCTCTCAAGACCAGGACTCCACACATGGGAAAACATGTTCGGCGTCAGCCTCACAAGTGTGTGCGTGATAGTGAACCAACTCCGGGATAGGAACTTGAAAGAGGAGGAGTCGCGTGGATACTGAGTCTCACACACGCATGAAGGATGAGCCCTAAGAGGGAAACTGGGAGGAGGAAGCCTGGGGCCATCACACCCATGGTGGTAGCAGGCCCAGCACCCACTCGTTGACCTCGAGTGAGTTAATGCCCATCTCTGTTCCTTGTTTTCCTCATCTTTAAAATGCACCTAATCATGGCCCTTACCTCATGGGGATTTAGGAAGATGACATCCGAGCTCAGAGCTCGGCACACTGTAAGTGCTCAATAAATGCTCACTGTAGTTCCTTCCACTGTTGGTGCAATCCTTGCATCTTGCACATGGGAAAACTGGGGACTGGGGGCTGTGGGTGGGGCCCTGTCCCCTGGGCCTCAATTTCCTTACCTGGAGGAGCCGTGGCTGAGTCCCGGGTACCGCAGGTGCACATTTGGTGCAGGGTGGGGCGCTGGGGTCTTACCTTCATTGTTCTCTCCAGGCGGGTGGTAAAAGGACAGCCCCAGGGAGATGATGGCCGCGATTTCCAGGATGATCAGCGTCACATCTTGCAGTGCCTCCCACACTAGCTGCAGGAAGGTTTTTGGCTTCTTTGGAGGTATAAAGTTTTGCCCAAAAATCTGCTTTCTCTTTTCCAGATCTGGAGCGGTGCCTGGCAAACCTGTGGACAGAATGCAGGAAGGTTGGCCTGGGAGGCCTGGGAAAGACACTCAGCTTCCCAGGAACCGTCCTGAATGGGGCTGGCCCCATGGGGAAGCACAGAGCGGGGATGGGGGTGGGGTGGTGGAAACAAAGCAGAAAACTTGCAGGCACCAGCCAGGCACCCAGCACTCGTGCCAGGCCCAGAGCGGGCTCCTGTGAAATGCCAGAGACACCATGAAGTGGGGTGAAGAGTGGTCCCCTACAAAATGATATGTCCGCATCCTAATCCATGGAAACTATGAAGGTGACCTTATTTGGAAATAAGGAAAACGGTCTCTGCTGATATAGTTAAGGATCTTGGCCTAAACCCAGTGTTAAGTGTCCTCCTACGTGACAGAGGGAGAAGACACAGACTCAGAGGACACAGGCCATGCGAAGATGGAGGCAGAGATGGCAGGATGCAGCCACCAGCCCAGGAACGCCGGAGCCACGAAGACGCCCAAAGAAGCAAGGATGGGAATGTCCCCTAGAGCCTTTGGAGGCCGCATGGCCCTGCCGACACCTGATTTCCAGACTTCCGGTCTCCAGAACTGTGAGAGAATAAATTGCTCTTGCCCAAAGCCACCCAGTCTGTAGCCATTTGTTATGGGGGCGACAGGAAGCACATACACATACCAGACCCACCCCCCGCCACACCCGTGTTCCTGCTTTGCATTTCCTCCCGATCTCTTCATCGAGCACACACTTGGAGACCCCTGCCTTGGGTGTGAATCCCAGCCTGTGCCTCCAGCTCTGAGCCTCAGTGTCCTCCTCTGTGACGGGGATGACGACTGTACGTAGCCCATGAGTGGTTGTGAGCATCTCAGGACAGAATTTGTTAGGTCAGTGTTTGTTGAGCACCTACTATGTGTCCGGCACTGTTCCAAACACTGGGACAGAGCAGTGAGAGACACAAACAGAGCACCCTGCCGGAAGTGCTGACTTCCCAGGGGACACACAGGACGTGGTCAAGCGGTGCCTGGGGTGTGGCATACACTCAGTGGAGGCTAGTGGCCTGTCTCATGGACCATGGGGGTGAAGTGCAGTCCTCATCATGTGGGGCCGGGACATAGCGGCCCACTTCCAACCCACTGTTTCTTCACTTCCAGACAATTTTCCCTGCCTCACCAATCCGATCCTTACTCCCTGCTCAGCAATCTTTGGAGGCTCCGCACTACCTCCAGAATAAAGTCCATGCTTCTCAGCTTGGCTCTCTGGCCTCTTGATCGGACCCCCAAGCCATGCTTGCGGCCACATTTTCACTACCTGGCCCCCTCCCAACCAAATCAGGCCTGTCCTCTGCTGGCGTGGCTTGTGTGTACCTCCTGCCACGTTTGGTCGGGTGTGCCTTCCACGTCCCTCCTCCCTGCTCCGTTTGCCTGTCTGCAAGTCCCCTCCCAAACTCATTCACTCCAAGGTGTGGACAAGAATTGTCCAATTCTACCCATAGTCAACATTTGAAATCATTCCACTTGGGCTTCATTCCTTGAAATAAAAACTCCAATTCCTTTAGATTCCCTGGGAGAGGGAAGCCATCATCAGATCTGGACACCATGGTGTGAATGAGTTTTAGGCTTTTTCCTGGGAGTGGGATTTGATAAAGAGAAGAAAGGAGAACTGGGGATAGTGGTGGGGCCTCTGAGGGAAAGGGCTATGACCAGTCAATACTGGCCTGTTATGGCAGTTTGCTGGGCTTTGACCAGTCAGTTCCTTTTTCTGAGCCTCAGTCTTGATAATAGGGGAGTTCAGTAGGATGGGGGGGTCCTAAGGATCCCACAGGTTCCAAGGTCTGCAGGTCCTGAAGTGGTCCTGCTGGGGTCTATTCACAACTCTTCATAGGTTTGGTATAAATAAGGGCATCACTAAGAAGAAGCTTAGCAAAACTGGGGCCAGTCTATCTCCTAGGCCTGTCCTGATTGATTCACAGAGAGTGAGTCTTTGAATCTTCTGAGGGTCTGTGATTCAAACGTTCTGGAGTGTGACCAGTTGAAAATGTGGGTATTCCCCAGTTCTGGGAGTCTGGTCATAGTTCAGGGGTTCTTTCATCTGGGGATTCATGGGACTGGCTTTGAGATCTTGGGTCCTGGGACAGAGCACAGGGCAGGGGGTTGCAAATCTGCAGAGCCATGGGGCTGAGCAGCTTTTGTGAATGAGTAAAGTAGGTGGGTGGGGGGCAACGGGGAGTAGTGGGGACTGGGGCAACATGAAGAATCTCAGTCATTTTAAAGGGGGAAATTATGTCTTAGCTCTTGTGGGAGAATGTGGAACCACTGTGGTAGATCTGTCAGTCTTCCAAGGGAAGCTGGACACCTGGAATTTGACGTAAAATCTTCCCATTAAAAATAGCCTAGGATGAAATACAATGTATCTGTGAGCTAGATTCAGCCCTGGGGTTGCTGGTGTGAAACCCCCAAGGCTATGGATTGGGGAGAGGGAGGAGCAGGGAGGCACCAGAGTAGAACAGCCTCCTTGTCTCTTCCTCATCTTCACTGGGCTTCCCCCTCCCCAGCACTACACCCTGCCCTGCTCTGCTCCCTGCAGGTTCTGAGGTCTCCTCTGTTTTTTAGAAATAACAGCTCATAGAATAAAAATATTTGTGTGTTCTGTAGGGCCAGTCCCACTTAGAAATCTCTAGGCAGTTTCCACACAACAAACACCCTAGTATATAAACCCAAGATGGGAACCTTGGGTGTTGAGGTGCTCACATAGGGTGATTGAGATGACAGATGGTGGCCATGACATCTTGCTCACCCTCTTCCTCTTAGGGGAAGAAGGTGGGCTGAGCTGGAGATGGGGATACCCAGCCCCACGAACTCAGATGGGCTTGAACTCAGATGTTATAGGTTCAGATGCCAGGTCTGAGTGACTTTCGGCAAGAGGTGTCGCCTCTCAGTGCCTCAGTTTCCTCATCTGTAAAACGTGAGTAACAGCAGGGCCTACTTCACAGGGTTGGGCGGGCCTTTGGCAGGATGTCTCGCGTAAGGTGCCCGGTGCTGTGCCTGGCACTGGGTGAGGGTATTGGTTAGTGTCGCTCAGTTTTAGGTGGTGTGTGTGATAATTATGGCCTGCCGGAGGAGGAAGACTTTGTTTGGACAGGTGGCATTTCAGTAAGATGGGGAGGAGATCAGTAAGATGGTCAATGTGAGGACAGGAACAGCAGAAGGGCTATATGACTGCAGACAAGCCACTTATCCTCTCGGGGCCTCAGTTTCCCCATAGGTGACATGAAGGATTGGCCTGACGGAAGGATAGGGGCTGGTGGCTCTGATACCTTGTATCCGAAGACAGTGGTTTTGAGGACATACAGGTGGGACTTCCCACTGTCTAATCCACCTATCATGTTTTTCCCAGGAGTGTAATCTCATAGTTTCCCTGCCTTCTGGCTGAAAATGAACATGCCTATTATGGTGAGCAGAAACAACGGAAGATAATGTGAGAGATGAATGGTGCTGGAGATTCAATTTAGATTAAAGAGCATCTCACCATTTAGCATATTAAAAATTAACATTCTGTGTCAAGTATCACTGGACAAAGCCAACAAGGCCTTGAAAATTCAGAACCACAGTGCCTGGGCATTGATGTCAGAAGCCGTGTGGGGTTGTGGGTTTCTAGTGTGAATTTCTTTTTTTTGCACAAGAGGCAGAGGACACAGATCTGAGTAAGAAGTCAGGTTTGTGGATGAACTTGGGCCATTTATCTCATCCCTAGAAGACTCAGTGTCCTCATCAATAAAATGGGAGCAAAGTAACTCGTAGACTGTGGTGAGCCATGCAGAGAAGAATGTGTGCAAAATTGTACAGGCGTAGCAATTGTGCCTTCACAGTAAAAAGCCTCCAGCACTTGTACAAATTCTTCTATTGGAATCGGAATTTGTGTGTCCTATTAATCATGTAATAGGAGAAAGCCAAGCACAGAGCATGGGAAACTTGGGTTGTACAGCAATTATTTGCTGCAATGGCCGTTTGCTATCATGGGATATTAGAATAACCTTTGCGCCAAGCTTCATTTCTATCCTGCTGTCCTGGACACAACTGGATTTGTTCCCAGCCTCTAAGCCTGTGCCCCCGCTAATCCTCATTCCTCTATGTGGATTGCCTTTCTCTCTCCTTAGCTTTTTCAGGCCCAGCCCTGAGTGCTGCAAATGGCAGCCTCAGGCCATCAGAGAGGTCTTGTTTGGTCAGCTGCACACTTGCACAGTGTTAAAAAAGTGATAGGGGCGCCTGGGTGACTCGGTTGATTGAGCATCTGACTCTTGGTTTCCACTCAGGTCATGATCTCATGATTTGTGGGACTGAACCCCGCATTGGGCTCCAGGCTGACAGTGTGGAGCCTGCTTGGGAGTTTCTCTCTTTCTCTCTCTCTGCCCCTCCCCTGCTTGCACACGTGCACGCTCTCTCTCTCTCAAAAATAAATAAAATAAAACAAATGATAATTTGTTGCCAGCATTAAAAACTCAGGTACTTCCACATAAAAATCCAGATGTCTAGCTCAGCAAGGATGTGTGCCTGGACCTCAGGGAGCTGGAACCTGTGGATGAGAGCTCTCTGACCCAAACATTGGCCTCATCTTGGCTGGGGGACATGTTTCCTGTTAAGGAAAGCTCAGGGGGACAGTGAGAAGCAGCTTAAGTTCTTGCAGGAGCAGAGGAAGTCTTTGCATCGTCTGGACCTAGCACAGAGCTGGGGACCAGGAAGAGTGAGGGAGGGAGGGATCCTGGTTTCCTTAGAGGGAAGGACTTTGTCACCGGTGGGCTGAAGTGGATGGATGTCTAGGGAGGAAGGAAAGGGAAACACACCCAGAGGCTGGACAACCCGCCATGGTGTCCTGTCACTAGATGCCAGGCCCCCAGCGACTCAGGAGTCTTTTCTCTAAAGAGGCCTGAATTCCCCCCGGCCCCTCTGAAGGTAGAGACAGTAGTTAGGATCCTATTAGATGGTGTGTATCCAATCTTCCACTTGCTTATTTAATGAATCGACAAAT